AAACTAAACCTACATGTATTTGTACTCGAATAGCGTTGAACTTAAGATCACAGGTTAGATTCTTGACTAATTTTTTTCTTTCTTTAACTTTAAAATATATACTCGTTCTTTTTCTCTAAAATCATTTTATGCAAAGTAAACTTTCATAAATTCTTTGAGGATAAGGCAAATGCAATCTGATTGCTAAATTTTCACTGCAATGCTAAAAATATTTTTAACAAATTGTGAAAAATCATGCGCAAAATCTATCAAATCGATCACGGCGCTGGTAAAAGTATACAGCTATAGAAAACGTTGTCTGGGAGAACGGCTAACAACGATTGTTGAAGGAAGATTGCACTACCAAAAGGGACTATGGTTACACTGTTTTGATAAACAAAATTTCACTTATTGGATTCACCTTACATAGAAATGGAGACTAAATGGAGCCAATGTTTACCACAGACCATCTTATAGTACAAATCAGTTTTATTGCCTTTCAACAGGCAAAACCCATGACCACTTTCGGTCGTGCCATCGTCATTCGACCATTGACATCCATTCGACCATTGACATTGCCATCTGACAACCTTTTTTGAAATAGTATGTTCGGTATGTTCCACAAAGTGATTCTTGCTAAGTCTTGTGCCTACGCAGAATCTTGCCACAAAATCAGCCTTGTTGTGTTCTTCACTCGCCTATCTTTCAAAAAATGTGTTAGTAAGACCGTATTTTTCCTCTTCTCTGAGAAAATCTTGGCTAAAAGTTTGTCAACCAACTCAGTTCTTTGAGAAAGTTAGCTCAAAACTACCTTCACACTTATGATTCTCATCCAGTAGAGAGTACGGGCAAAGAAGGTGTGAAAAACAAGCAAAAGTCAAATTAATAGCTTCCCTGAAGCAGCTACAACAAATTGTGCTCAAGCAAAGACTAAGTATTAAAAAAAAACACGATCTTGAGTGTTTTAAACAGCTTAAAAAACTCCCACACTAATTTGAAACTAAAATCTGTTAAAATTCTTGGAGAAATTGCCATCAAAATAACTTTTGCGATAAATGGGGCAAACTGATCATGCGCTAATGACTTTACAAAGCACCCTTGTCATCCGACATTGAATACGCATAAAGTAAAATAGAAGTGCTGATGGCTGTTTTACTGCAATCGGTTGACATCCTACATTGATCAATGATCAGGTATCAAACCTGAGACCTTTGCTAGGGTCATGGACCTTTATATCTGATAAAGGTCACCCTTATTTGTATTCTTTATGTATTCTTTATCATTCTTTTCTATATTGCCACTGGAGCTCCACTATTAAGTGTTACTTAATTTTTATCTGTGGGCATGGCGAAAGAGGCTTGGGTATGAGCACCATAGCTAAGAAAAAATGGTATATTCATCAAGTCGATTTTTCATGGATTGACACATGTACCACCACAGGAAACCCATACTCCATGCGAAAAGGGAAAAACAGCAACAAAATATTTGTTGAAACATCTAAATTTTTTCCTCAAACATGTATCTTACAAATAAGATAATCTGATTGATTGTAAGCTTATGTAGACTATTTTCGCAGAGAGGTTTCAGTTTACATTCTTAAAATCAAGAAAGAAAATCAGAAGTCAATAAATTCAGAGTACGAAATTCTCATGTGTTCACATTCCTTGAAATAGCGCATCTCTACTAAGGACATCTTTGAAATAGTAGTTTCAGATAATCATTCTCTTCTATTGGTGTTACCTAATTTTCATATTAAGGAGTGTTTTATCAGATATAGAGGTCCATGCATGTGACCAAATAATTGTAATAGTAATGTTATTTTTCATTCAAGGTGGAGAGTTGTTTATGCAGTTGGAGAGAGAAGGGATTTTCCTTGAAGACACAGCTTGGTTTGTCTTTAACCATTTATTATTGAACTACTATTCTTACTTCATGATAGAAATACTAGTTGAAAACAAAATAAAGTTTAACAACACTATAGCAATATAAGTTCAAGTTCTCATTAACAAAAGCACTTTTCAACTTACTGTTTTCAAAAACATCGTCCAAATTAAGTGGGTTTTTTTTCAAATACCAAATAGGAATTGGTCAACAACAACAACTTACATTTCAGTCAGATATGAAAATAATGTGCTTCTTGAAACTAGTAATACAATGTATTTAAACTCTTCCTTCATAAGTGCAAAATCAAACAAAATTATGTATAGGATAATGGATGAGCTCCGAGGCTTACTGAAAATAATGACCGAGCCAGCAGCGCGAGGTCCTTATTTTCAATAAGCCGAGGAGCGAGGCCATTATCCCATTTAATATATACTCTCATTGTTTTCGAAGAAACGAAACCGTGCCTTTCAAAAAGGTGTTGTTCATGTTTTACAATAAGCAGGCTAATTATGTTTTAGTTARAGCGGTTTTCTAAAACCCATTGTACCATTAAAACTTTTACATATAATAAAACTATAAATTAGAAATCTTATTGGCTTCAAGTAAGTATAACAATCTCTACACTTTGTACTTGTACTGTTTTTGTTTGTAAAGTACTTTTGTAGCTTAAATTACACACAGGTCATTATTATGTTCACCGAGATGTGACAGTAGGTCATTATTTATCGAAATAACCACCTCCTGTTCYGTCCCGGTGCACATAATAATGACCTGTTTGTAGTTTGAATGTAATAAATTCATCAACCCCGCTCTTCCCTTCTGAATTCAAAACCCTCCCCGGCTTTTAGAATCTTTGATTATCGGAAATAAAGAATGCTTCAAAACAATGAGAGTATATATTAAATGTTAGGAAATTGCAACCCAAACAGTCTATTAAACTATTTACTATAATTGCTATTTATTGATTTTACAATTTTAAAGCAGGACTATTTTATTAAAGCAGAATGATGTCTATAATTGAAGTCAAGTTAAATATAGAATATACTCATTTTTTCATGCAAAATTGATTCTAAATTGATTTCCTCTGTTGGTTTCTTTTTAGTTTTTATCTGTCTGAGATAACCCTTGGACTGGAACACCTTCATAACATGGGTATTATATACAGGTATTGTATAAAGTGTGGTGACCAAATGTTGAATTAGAAGTTGAATTGATCTTTCAAAATGCAAATTGTCGAATTGAGATCTACGAAAAAATTATCTATTAGTAACAAACCAATAACTAAATGTAGAACATATGTCATTGAAATGAACCAATCATAGTACCATAACAACATCAGTTGTCAAAATACAAGCACAGGTTTTGAGAACTAACTCTGGTTGTTAAGACCTAACTATTGGTGCAGTGGCAGATCCGGAACATCACAGTTCAGCAGGGGAGTGGTTAACACAATTATTCAATTGATAGATTTAGGAGCTGCAGAAAAGGAAATTTTCTTCAAATTTTTACTTAATATCATTTTTCTAATTCTTTGTGTTTGAACCCTGAAAGGAGGTTGTTAATAGCCACCCTAATCGCTCCCCCAGACCATTACTGACATTATCTTTAAAATGTGCTTCTGCAATGTCAAAATGTTTCCTTCTAGAAGGATTCAGKCACTGTCTTAATCTGGTTTCCGGTTATTGAACTCTTGGCAATTTAACATGTTTCATTATCCTTTCTATCATGGTATTAAGGTTTTTCTACACTTGAAGTCTGKCAATGAGGACTGGATGGGATTTCAAGTCTGTACAATTAGATCCAGTCCGAAGCATTAGGAATGTCAATTCATGACAATTGTAATGAGCCTAATTCATAAGAATTATAAGTATGTTATCTTCTGAGGAATTGCATCAGAAAATCGGTGGTTTAATGGTATAAGATGGTGCATATAGGCTGGACGGTTTGGGCTCATTTCGTGAAGCAGTCATGTATCTAAGACCTTTTTTTCATTAAATTAATTCTATATTGAATTGATTATTTCTAATACTTTGATTATCATTAGCTAGTAGTAACTGGAAACAAGGTAGAATTAACTGGGAATAAGGTAGAAGTAACTGGAAATAACTAAGGTAGAATACAAGGTAGGAGTACTTCCTCTGGTTTCCAGTTACTGCACGTGGTACAAATTATAATCAGGAATTAGCTGGATACCTCATGAATAATTAATGAGTATGAGAAGCAATATTCACGCTATATCACTCATAGTCTTATTCATCTCTCTGAGAATGGTAGCAAGGATAATCATTGTGCCACCTACCTTGTGTATGCTGTCAATTTGTGATTGGCATTTATATTTCTATCAAAACAAAGGCATAAAGTTGACATTCCTGACAAAGAAAAAACTTTGGTTTCTTCCTTTGTTCTTCTATGTATCTAAAATGTTCCAGAAATTCAAATTCAGTTTGGAGACATTTTGTTTGTTTTGTTTTCAAACAGTTGTTGTTGTTGTATCATTCTTTTCTGACAACTTTGCAAAACAACATCTTAATCACTTGTCATTTTGACAAACACACCATGATTTTCTACTACTCTTCAGWCTGAAAATAACATTGAAGCATGATTATAGTTAATTTAGTGTAAGTTTCACAAATATATAWTTCATTTTTACACACAAATTGCATATTCACTGGAATCAATCAAGCTTCTAGAAAATGTAATAAAAGGTATACTTTTAGTTAGTTAAGTGACCATATTAAGCCATAAACATTTCCCAAAATTATATCTTTTACCTTTAAATCTTTACTTATCATACATAACTCCCAAATTCATAACCAGTATTACTGTGAATTAAAAAAAGTTAAAAAAGTTCATTTTATAATAATTATTATCCTTCATTTGGCTGAGGTAATTTTGAAGATGTTTAAAAAATAATTTATTTGTCATTGTTTTTCAGAGATCTAAAACCAGAGAACATATTATTGGATGCACAAGGTATAGTATTGCACTAGACCAAGTAAACCCAGAATTAACAAATGTCCAACTTTAACTTCAACTTATAGTTTCGCACCAATGGGCTGTGACATAAAATGAGGAGAACAATGATAATATATTGTTATGCAAGAAGGCTTTGGATTCATGATTGACTCTACAGTTTTACATTTCTCTATACTTTATTATTCTGACTTGCAAACATACTACTCTGATTTATCTTACTTAATAGGTAACACTATTATTACGGCGTACCAATTTCTTGATGCAGGAAAGATGAGTGATGATGGTCCTTTTTTTCTAAACTGAATACAAAACTCAACAACTATTTACAGTCAAAAGACATGAAGCGCACCCCTCGAATACATGTAGTTTGTTATTCAATACATTATTGGATTTTTCATGTTATTTTTCGTTTTCAAACTTCAGTTGATTAATGCAAAATTMAATTCAAATTTCAAACCACRSGCCACACCCTTTTTCATATGGTCTATAGCACAGGGAACCTGGTCTCAGAAAATTAGTGAATGAATTACTAGAAAACAATTAGAATAAATTAATAATTTGCAGACTCGAGTTTAAAGGAAAGTGAGCAAGCGAGTGACAGATTCGGCCAAATCCAGAATAACTCTTCGATTGCAAATAAAAGCAAAACTTTATCTAAAGTTTGGCTTGCCACTGCAGTACAGTTTTGAATATCAATATATGTCAAATAGTTTTGTACATAGGCAGTCATGGTATTTTATGAATTGTAGAAGTTGATCTGGTTTTCACTTGCCATCACAAACGTTATTATAGGGACTATAATACTGTTGCTACAACTGTTGTAGGGTTGTCAAACAATTGTTTTAATCTCTACGACTATTGTAGCCATGTTGTAAGGATAACTTACGCATGTTGCACGCAACAGTTGTAGGCAAAAGTTGTACTGTCTAAACCGGCCTTTAGAAGCGTTTTTAAGTTTGTTTGAAATTTTAAGACAAAGCATAATTAAAGCCAATTTGACTTTGTGTAGGTGTGAATAGATTGTTTAACATTAGGATTAATATCAAAACTGGGACAATCCTGTAAATCTTGTAAGAGAGTTGTATAGTTTTTAGAGACACTCCTCTAGAACTTTATCTTGGCAGTCTGTAACATCTATTTGTTCAAATAAACCCACATGTTGTAAAAATGTTTATTCTAGCATGATCTATCTTGCTGTGAGCATCAGCAGTATTATCTCAGGATATTTTTAAAAGAATTTTGCAAAATGTTGCTGACATTATATAATATGCAGATTTATGGTTTTCACATGCTAATATGTCCAAGCAAAGAGCATTTATTTCATAAGGTTTCTGCAGATTCTATTTCTAAAGTAATATTAGAAGTAATGTCTTTTTCTATTGTTTGTAGGACATGTGAAGCTTACAGATTTTGGTCTTTGTAAAGAATCTGTCTTTGAAAATAACTTAACACATACGTTTTGTGGGACAATTGAATACATGGCACCAGAAATCTTAACTCGAAGTGGTCATGGAAAAGCTGTTGATTGGTGGAGTCTTGGTGCTCTGATGTATGATATGCTGACAGGCAGTGTGAGTATTTGTACAATGTTGTAATTTTCTTATTATCATTTCCAAAATATTCCAATAGATTTGACAATGAGAATAATAATAATAATAATAGTCTTTTTCTATTGTTTGTAGGACATGTGAAGCTTACAGATTTTGGTCTTTGTAAAGAATCTGTCTTTGAAAATAACTTAACACATACGTTTTGTGGGACAATTGAATACATGGCACCAGAAATCTTAACTCGAAGTGGTCATGGAAAAGCTGTTGATTGGTGGAGTCTTGGTGCTCTGATGTATGATATGCTGACAGGCAGTGTGAGTATTTGTACAATGTTGTAATTTTCTTATTATCATTTCCAAAATATTCCAATAGATTTGACAATGAGAATAATAATAATAATAATAATAATCTAAGCTTATACAGCACTTATAAAACTTTTTCTTAGCGCAAAAAAAAAGATAAAAATTAAGGTAAAGAAAGTTACAATAGAGTTACAGATCATAAGTTTGTTTAAATAAGAAGGTTTTAAGAGCAGTTTTAAAATTATCAAGTGAAGTGAAGACAGTGTTGTTGATTTATCAGTTTATTGGACCTCTTATTTCTATAATTAAAGGGCCAACACATACTAATTCCATAAGTCGGAACCAGTTCCCTATCTGTCAATTTTTTTGTCACTCAAAATCAAGGAGCAAATACTATGACTTATGGAATCAGTCTAGGGCCAGCAATACTATGACTTATGGAATCAGTCTAGGGCCAGCAATAATCAAGCCGACAATGGCAACACAACTTGAAGATTGATTGTGTAGATGATACAATACGATGAATCAAATTATAATTACTAAACAAATAGACAAGTAAAAATATGATTGTTGCAGCTAGGATTCATGATTAAAACATATATGTAGTTGTCTCTAGCTTAGTTTTTTATTCAGACGTTTCGATCTGCTCTCAGATCTTCTTCAGTGCAAAAAAATGAATTCCGTTACAATTGTTTGCTCGCTTCAAGAGTTAACATGCACGCGCGTAATAAGTGTTCTATAGACATCTGGAATGGCTATTCTATAATTTGACGAAGTAGTGTCATACTCAGAGTGCCAAGCTTCAAGAAATAACCGTTTGTGATAGTTTGGCTCGTTGTCCACCACACAAGCACCACTGAAATTGATCACGTGGTCGTCTTCTAAAACATGTTGGGCTAACTTTGATGAAATTTTTGGTTTTCTGTAGACAAGTAAACAATGTATAAATATAGTTTTTTCTTTTCTTTAGTTTTTTTAGTTAAAATCGAATTATTTTTAACTTCAATTCTTGACAACCGGGGGCAAGCGCCCGCACTTAAAAGACAAGTCTAGACACAATTATGTAACATTGGTATGCGTTCTTTCTTTGCCAAAAAATAAATTAATTCAATCAAAGATAGAACAGGGAACCCAGTAATGGTAAATTAATGAGTAAATTACTAGAAAACAATGAAAGTAAATTAATAGTTCTGAACACAAGTAACACAGGCTCAAGTTTACAGGAAAGTGAGTGACTGAGTGACTAAGTGAGTGACAGATTCATCCCCCTCCAATAACTCCTAATAATTACTTTGAAATCTTCAAGTTGAAAATGGCCAAAGTTACATTTAGGGTATTTTTGAAGCTTTTCCTCAATTAAAAAAATAATATTATAATTTCAATCACTTCAATCATGTTTCAAGCAGGACCCTGGTGGACACTGGTCACCTGGTACCCATGAATTGTGGGATATCAGGTCCACAAAAACAAACATGGCAGACATTGATGGACCGACTGTACTTATTACAAACATATTTACAGTGTTTTTTTTCTTYCAATCATTGATTTTTCTAACTACAGTCAACTGTTGTTATTACTGACACCATCGGGGGCCGTCAGGGCCATGACTTGGTGTCTGTAATAGCGAGAATCTGCAAAAGCAGGTTGCAATATAAAATCACTTGTTTATTGTCTAAAACATGGTTATTTTTAGCGTGTATCAAACATTGAGTATAGTATATAAAACCTAACAAAAAGGTGAAAAATTCGAATTTTAGTTGATGGGTTCATATTTCTGACTGCTTGGAGAAATATCTGTCTAGGGTTCTTTATTGTTGAAATTTTTTTCCCAAAGCAGTTTCCACTACTTTTYATTACCTAGCTTGCCAATTCACCTCACAAGCTTAACAAGAAGGAAAACTTCAATTGCAATTCAGATGTGCAGTTAACTGGAAAGAAYACAAGTTTGATATTTGAGTAACGTTCCTTTAAATCATATGTTATTACTGTATTCTAACTCGCTGGTTGCTCTTTAAATAAGTTATTTGACGTGAATTTAAATGAAAATTGTGCTTCAAACAGACAGCTTCTACACAAAATGGGTTTTCTTTCGATTGAAGAAAGAAAATACAAGTGTCAACTGTCAGTAGAATGACTACCACGCTAAAATACACACGCTTAAACTCAATACATGTACTTGTATTTAAAAAGAAAGAAAGGCTGATGATAGAAAAAGGCAAAATAATCCTTCTTTATTGAATAATCTTATAAATAAGATTCTAGATTCACTTGTTAGTCAAAGCATGTGGTTGTTAACACTCAAGTGACGGTTCGATAATCGGCAAAGATTGATGACCACAAAGAAGCTTGAGTTTTAGGTAAAACWCCAGAAAATTTAAGATTTACTCTGCTGAAAAAAAATATATTTAGGAGGAAAAGATTGATTTCTAGATCGTAATAGAAATGCAAATTTTTATATAAACAGTAAAAACAGAAAACTACTTGCTCACGTTCTGGCCGATAGTTCTTGGAGATTGTACTCAGAATTCGCAAAGTCCATGGTATACATGCATATCAAGTCAATGTGGTACTAGACTTCGTTGTTCCATCTCCACAACTTTACTTTGTTATTTCTCCTCTGTTCTTCAATCTGATAAATAACATTTGATTTTAAATTGGCAGGTGTATTTTAACATAGTTAAAGATTTTAATCAATGCGTATCTTGTGTTGACGGAAATTCCGAGGGGGGTGGGGGTAATACCTGAATACTCCAATGACGAGCCAAATCAACCACATAAACACAAATCATCCAAAGAAGCCATCAAAATGCAAGCAAAAAAAGTTTGCAAATGATTCTTATATTTATCAGTTACAATAAACTTCTTTTGAACAGTTAGTGCCAACAGAATTACAAGACTTTAGCATGTAATTAAACATGTGTCCGTTGTAACAGGAGTTTAACAATTAAAATGTGTAATTGGGACCCTGGTAAGTGTCCATAATTTCATATTAGAAAGAGTCCATAATAGCAKGGGTCGTATACATACATTTCTCTGTAGTTTCAGTAGGGGATTTTACTGCAGTCTGCTGGTGTCTGTTGTATCAGGTTGTCTGAAGGGCGAGAGTTCACTGTATTCTAATGTCAATTTTTTTTACTTTAAGCTTATCTTTTAGTTAAATTATTAAAGATGCTTAAGCTGAACTAAAGTTTGCAAACAAAACAACAAGGAAGATCAGAGCAGATAAGTTATAAGATACAAAGCAGCTCAATAATTTCCATGTATAAGTGAATAAGTATACTAGTTGGAATATGTAATTTATTTAATATTATCTAAGCTCATAGTTTAAAAACAACAGTCTGGAATCTCACAATTCATGGGTATCATGTGACCAGCCTCTGAAGGTCCCGCTCTAAGCATCAACCCATTTTCACTGTGGGAAATTAGCTTAAMAATTGCAGTTTTCATTTCATTTTTATGACTTCACCTATCACTTTAATATCAAAATGAGTAGCTGATCCATGTTATTGATGTGATTTTATTCAAAATTAAGAGTTTCGACAGTAAGGAAGCATACAGTGCAATGCTTTTGAAACCCAGGGTTTAGAGCATTAATCTTGCCAAAACCTAACCCTACACCACCCCCAAAGCCTAACCCTCCTATGACTATTTAGACTATTTAATAAGTATTTCATTTTAGTGAAAGTTTCAAAAGTACCCCAAAAAGTCTTTTACACCATTTGCACATCTGGCCCTTCAAATAATGGAAGTTAAAATGCTTGTTTTTGAAAGAACAAAATATACAAAATTATTGAAAGTCCTTGGTTATCCCCAGGTTAGATTTGAGTTTGATTCAGAGATAAAAATTGTTGTGTGTTTCATTTGGTTTTGGCTTTGACTATCTTCCTCTGACTTTGACATGGCAAATAACATTCTGATTGTGTCCCTTTTTAGCAAAGAAATGGATATTTTGTCTTTTGCTCATCAATGGAATATTTAGTATAATATGTTAGAATTTTGTTGCTCTCATGGTTGTGTCCGGTTTTTAGACAATCCTATGAAAGGACATGAGACAAATCGGTATAGAATTCACAAAATGCATTCAAGAAAGTTAATTATTATTATTCAGAAAAGCTAACTTTTTGATTGACAGAATATCACCCTGATTAGCACA